ATTGTCCTGCGGTTCAAATCCATCTGTCTGACTTTGGTATATGGTGTACAGAGGTCGATCCTTTCAAATGCCCTTTATTTGTAAATGGAATTATTATTCAAAACGCATCCAACGATCGCATGAACGGCACATGAGTAACCAAACTGTTTGTCGAATGTGGCCGACAATGGTCCAAAATCAGAATTTTAAAGTATAATAATATGGTGATTGACGACAACGTTGTCAGACTGTAAGACCATCATTAGACTTTTGGTTGTAAATTTTATATTTAAGAACTTTGTGTTTTGAAATGAAAAACCAATGCAATATAACAGAAAATAAAGTTTGGCAGACGTCTAAAAATATTATATTTAAGAGTTCATTTCAAATTATTTTTTGTAATAATTTACTATTTAGTATTGTAAAATCAAATATGTATACGCTCTCTACACAAACAAGCAAAATGCTCCCTTCTCTTAACCAACATTTTCTCTGTAATATTAAATAATATACATTAATATGTATTATATATATATATAATTATAAAGTGATTTTTTTATCATAACTCACTCAATTATTTACAGAATAATAATAATTTAAACATTTTTTTTTTATTATCATTAGTTACACATTATTCTTGAATTATTAACTATGTAATACTTTTTAAGTTCATCCCTTATGTCTGGTAAGGGTGTCAAATTTGTTTTTTTAATTGGGAACAGACATTTTGAATTTAATAAAATGTTTGAGTTTTTAATTTAATAGTAATAGGCATTTAAATTTATAGTATAACTTTATTTGTTTATTAGATATAGACATTTAAAGTTTCAAATTTTTGAGGTAATATACAATGTATATGTTTATTATACATGTATAATACATATGGGATTACAAATACAGGTATCTAATTGGTTTTTTTATGACATCGATATTAGAAGTTACACAACATTGTTATTATCAATTGTGTAATACACATTGTTGCGAGTTTATAAATTCACCAACTGACAATATAGAAAGGATATCTATTGATAGTCATAATTAATTATAAATAATCCTTGACTGTGACAGCAATGTCATAAAAAACCAATTAGCTACCTGTATTTGTAATCCCTTGTGTATTATACATTTATATAAACTCAAAAATTTGAAACTTTAAATGTTGATGCCCAATAAACAAATAAAGTTATACTAAACATTCAAATACCATTGATTATTAAATTAAAAACTCAAACATTTCATTAAATTCAAAATATGTGTTCCCGTTTAAAAAAACAAAGTTGACACCCTTACCAGACATAAAAGGTGAACATAAAAAGTATTACATAGTTAATAATTTAAGAATAATGTGTAACTAAAGATAATAAAAAAAATAAATGTTTAAATAATTATTATTCTGTAAGTAATTGAGTGGGTTATTATAAAAAAATCACCCTGTATATCTAAACATTAGACCAGTGCTTTTTGTTTCGCATAGTATCTAGTAGCATATAATATGATTAGTGATCAATCACTAATCATATTTGAATCTAAATGAATCAAAATTATAATTTTACATTATACTTAATAACTGTAGGCTATTGTATCAAATTCCCTTTATGGTGGTGTTGAATTAAACTCAATTATAAATTAGCTTAAATGTAGATTTATGAGCTTATTTTCTATTTATCATTTATTTTAAAACTATATTGTTTAATATGGATCGTTTCATGTAAGCAAATAAATGGTAAAAAGAAAAAATAGTTGCGCTGGTGACTGACGGTAGTCTTCAACTTTTAATATATACTTTGCTGGAGATCTGATGCTACTCTTTCAGCGGCTCATTAGTTTGTGAAGGATTATGATGACCAGTAGTACTCCAAAGGCAGGACTTAGGATGAGCCAAGAAACGTATTATAGTATCTTCATCATAAAATTTATTCTTAAAGGAAAATACCTGATAATTCAAAAAAGAGATTCAAAAGAAAACTTTGTTATCTATACGTTTAATATAAAGTAAAAAAAATGTATTATATTGGTTAATGATTAAAACGTAAATTATAGTTATAATTAAAACAAAAATTATTTTTAAAATTTAGAAATAGAAATTATTAACAAGTGCCACAAAAAAATTGGGACGGGCAATATGTATGAAAATATTTGGGATTATTATTCAATTATTATGTATAGACATGAAGTATCGTTATTGTTTGGAGTTTTATTAAAGAACACACGAAGGCTAACAGATAAAACTAAAAGAATAAATCGCATCGAAGCTAATAAGTCACGCTTTGTCTATGACAATCAAATAAACACTTTTTAATAAAATGTACAATAAAGTTATCTATGTGTACTGAGGTTTGTATAGAATCCAAATAGATTCATTTTTGTTAGATAATATTTTAATTTTTTGGAGGATTAACATTGTTTAGATAACAGTTATTGAACCATGTAATATGACTAGAATAAGAATGCAAATAAAAATAATTTTCTTTATTATTGCTCGGAGCTTTAATAAAAATTCATTAATTTGAAATAAGATTTCAATGATAGATCTAAAACTGTGCATTATGAATTGTCAGAGGAGTCAACATGTGCTAAACAAATATTTAATGTGTGTGTATATATCCACTCATTTCAGTATAATTCCTCCAGTGTAGTTAAAAATAATTTTATACACGACAGAACGTGGAAACAAAACGGAAACTATTAGTTGAGGTTTCTTCTAATTTAAATCATCAATTTTCTTTACAAAATGGTTCAAAAAAAAAATTTGAAAAGAAGTCATTTTTGTCAAGTACTTTTTTTTGTGGTATAATCCGATATTATATTTGTATAAAACTCAGTATATAACATTAATACTTATACGATATGGTAATTTTAAACTGTTTGTATGAAGTTACATTTCGAAAAAAGTATGGGTATATCTGATACTGTCATGCACCAATCCATTGATGTTATATTCCTATTTCCAATATAGGCTAACTAATCTGATTATTTATTTTCGTTATACCCAACCGGAAGTGTGTGTCTTATTTAATCTATGATTATATACAAATGTGAGAGTATTTTTACTGATATTATGTTTATTATAAAAAGGTCAACAATTTTTACGGATCCTCTGAAAAGATAAATTATAAAATTAACGCATATAATACATTTAAGTAAGGCATCAAATTTTGTGTTTTGAATTGTATTTTATTTAAAACCAACTATTAACTTTGAATAGCATTGCACACGAATTTTTACTTGGAGCGCCTTATGGTCTTTGGAGGGAGTTTGAGAAGGCTGATGAATTGTTTTTTATTTTTTTATGTTTTCATTTTGTTTTCAAAATAATGTTCAATGAATTGTTTCATTATTATCAGATAAAACCATTTACTGATAAATTTATAAATCAAAAGCGGTCATAAGCTCTTCACCATTAAAATCGAGAAAATAGTTACAGATAAAATTTTAAATGTATAATTTTTTTTTTTGCTTATTCTCATTATGTTTGAAACAGTCGTATATAAATTTTAATGGGTAACAATTATTCCGGTAAATTTTTATCTGAAACGTTAATTGATGTGAGTTTATTTTGAAACAGTTCCTCTTATAAAAAAGAATAGATGGAATTATTACTAGTAGATTTTACTACATCTGAGCTTAAGTTTCTCATATTTTAAGTATTTATTTATTATTAATATCAAATACGAAATAAATACTATTTATTAAGGAGTTATCAAAGTTGTACGATACGATAAGGTTTCATAATAGTTGCTAGCGTTAATATTATAATGTAATATAACATACCTCTATACGTTATAGTGGTTCGATATTATAATTGGTATTTGTGGCACGATAGATTTAATTAGAATTTTCACATGATATACGACTTTGCAGTACTACACATATTATTGTCGTTGGTGAGCATTAATTACATGATATCATATTATTCGCATAATTTATACTTATTTAATTCTGTGTGTCACAAAATGCCATTAATAATTTAAATTGAAAATTAATTTCTATAAGATATAGTTAACTATAATATAGTCTAATTTTCGTTTACCAAAAGTTATAAAATATTAAAAAAATAAAAATTTAATTTTTATTTCGATTATAAATGATAATGACAATATTGTTAGTTCAATAGTTTATATAAAACAAAAGTACCAAAGAAAACGTATAGTGAAATTTATTTATTGCAATTTTATTCATTTATTAAAAATTATCTAAAAATTAAATGAATATTAATGGGAAGGAAAAAAGTCATAAGGATTTAAAGTTTAATTATATATTCTAGTTCGTAGTGAAAAATAATTACAAAAGTGTTTTTTCATTCGAGTACCCCAAGAGGTAAAAGTAGGTAGATAAAAATCGAAATTCATATGTTTTCTACGGTTAATATTAGTTTTAACTTGAATATAATACGTTTTATTTAAATTTATTGCAGCCAGTTGACGCTGAGTTATGTATTTACAGTTAAAAATATTTTAATCTAGTAAAAATTCAGTAAAATAAATATAATAAAGTTACTTCCTACTTTTCAACAAATCAGTTGAAATTGTAATAACATGATTTATGGCGTACCCATATAAAACAAATTTTAATTTTCTCTAAAGTTTTAATTATAACTAACCACCCAAAAAATGAAAATAATTTAACATTTTAATGTTTCATTAATGTTAAATATACATGGCTAATTTTTTATTATTGTCTATTATACTTATTACTTAGTATCATTTTACATAGTTATACTTTTGCATACCGTTAAAGTCATACTAATATTTCAACATTATCATAAGACATAAAAGAGTATGATTTCTAAATTGTGAATCACAATAAGAGTATATCGACTTAAGTTGAAAATATTTTTAAAAAGGCAATTTTACACATTTTTATTTTACTGATTTAATAGAATCATTTATTTTAATATAGTCCGATTCTTATGAGTTTTATTCATTTTTTTATAACAACTTAAATTGTAACTTGAAAAGTATATCTATTTTATTTGTACACTTATCAAATTAATAATACATTTCTGAATAATTTTGTTACAGGTCTCTTTTTGGTCCACAAGCCCTGATTTAACTAACAAACAGCGTTTCGAGTACTTTTCACGCACAATACCATCTGATCTGTACCAAGTTAAGGCTATGGTAGAAATCGTTCGAACTCTCGGCTGGAGTTACATATCCGTTATTTACGAAGAATCAAATTACGGCGTCAAAGCTTTTCAGGAATTAGAGGTACTGTTGGCCGAATACGATATATGCATTGCCGTGAAAGAAAAATTGGTCAAGGATTCTGGTGTAGCCGAGGAAAAGGCTTATGATGAAATCGTGCTCAAACTATTAAAAAAGCCAAGAGCTAAAGGTAAAAGATGATTAACATTTTTCAGTTGAACTTTAAAAACATACTTTTTGGGTAGATACTTACTATACATTCGATTTTGCTATCGTAGACCGCATCTGTATGATATTAAGGCTTTATTTACCTTAAAATAATAATACCAATAATGGATTATAGGATTTTTTAGAGCAAGGATAAAATAATCATTTAAAGGCAAACGCAAAGAGGTCAAATCATACATACCTGTCTATGTTTCTTTCTGGATATACAATTTTATAATTCAAGTTAAATATACTGGCGTTTATTATGCTAGAAAGTTTTAGGACATTCGTATTTGCAGAATACCTGAAATATATACATAACTATGATTAGTTTTAATCGAACGTTTATTAATGAATTAACATACACCAACAATATATATATATATAAAATTTAATTAACAGCTAGTTTAACACTTTCATCTAAAAAATATTGAACAATATTTAAGTGTCTTAAATAATATACAATGTAGCCTGTTTTATGTGTATATAAAAATATACTAATAATTTTAAGAGTTATACAAATCCCAATATTAAGCATCTGTAGTTTAAATAGTAATTATATGTATTGAAAAAGTTAACTCATGTATAATATCAACGAAGATAAACCTGGAGATATCTTTAATAGAATAGAAAATGTCAAATAACTTTAAAGAATAATTGAAAACCTCCTTTACATAAAATAAAAAATATTGCGTTTGTAAAAAAACAATTACTTGTAACACCATTATATTTATTCATAGATAGATAATATTTTTGATTCCAATATTTTTGTACTTATTAACTTATTATTATTAACTTTATGGTAAAATAGCGTTATAACTTATCGTTCTAGGAATACTCATACAATTTATCAAACGAATTTTATAAGTTTTATTAAGAACCGTTTAAGTCGTAAATCCCAATCGCTATACAATTCGACTTCTTGGAGAGTTTTATACTAAAGTAGTATAAAACTAAGTCCACAAGTGTTTGTTTTTCTTAGAATGTTGTTAATCGTAACGAATGTTATGATAATATAAGGTTTTGTTTTTGATATGTTGTAAAATATGATTGTACTGTGCTTCATTTCTATTGCGATGCAATTTTTTCCATCCAAAATAAAATTCTACTCACAAATACCATACTGTACTTGAATATAAGACAGTATTTTTTTTCACGTTTTCCCAGATCCTTTTACAATCGTATATAAAGTTCCAACGTCTAAACGAAAAATGAATAGAATATACGTGAGTTTATGACGGAAAGGCACGATTATCATTTCAGCCGTGTCCACGTCGAAGAAAATGAATTCACTGAAAACACGTTACCAACAAATGTTCATCTGAAAAATAGTATATAATATGGCCAGTGCTTGGTTGTCCTAATATTGTATAACAGTTTAATAAGCCCTAGAACAATCGATTACGAACACTTGGCTCGGTCATCATCGACCGCTGAGAAAAAACAAACAGAGTTCGTATAAAAATGCTCTAAGTTTTCGCAAACCACCTTAGCGGTCATGTTGTCTAAACAATATTAATACACACCCATTGATGTGCATGGTTGTTTCATATTGAATGAGCTGGTATTTTCGAAAAAAGTCCATTTAGAAATAATTTGAAATGTAATTGAACAAAAGGATTTTATAGATATATTTATGAAAGACAATTTTAATTGTAGTGTCCGTAACTCAGACTTCAATTGCATTTTTATTTACTAGAATTAGTGATTGAAAAAAAAAATTTTTAAATAAATTAAAGGGCGCTTTAAGAAATTTAATGTTATATTTATTTGTATTATCTCTATATTGTATATATTGTATGTTTATCACTCGAACAATTAATGGTAATTCATCTATCATTTAAACATAAACCAATTAACATATTGAAAATGACATATTGTGGGTTTTATAACAATAATAATGGTATTGAAGATGGAAAGTACATTGAACTTTGATATTTTTAAAAATCTGCGTTTACTTTAATGTTAATAATACGGAAATCATATTAATTTTACAAAAGAAGGTGTTTGTGTAATGGCACATTGGCAACAAAGAGGGTATAATAGTGATAATAAAAGATTACAGTCGTTTACGCACCATTTGAAGCTTTAAAAATGTATATTTATGTAGATGTACGAAAGAAGAATGATGTCTCAACGTAATGAGGTCCATTCGGAGGGATATGATGTCGTCGTTGGTTTGCATACTTTTAGAGATCTATGCAGAGAAATTGCTAAAAAACAAAAACCTTTTGATAGTGTCATCAATTTTTTTTAGCTTTTATTCAAATTTTAAACGCCTTTGCAAACATAATATCTAGTAACAAAAGATGATCGTTTGGAATGATGAATTATTATGTTTAATTTAAGAAAAAAAAATATATAAAATCTGCCATGTGGCAATATCCCAAGAAATACATCATTTGTTTTATATCGGATAGAAATATATACTATATTATATTCAGGCATTTTTTACAACATTTTCCTTTGTATATTCGAATTTGTTTATAGAAATAACTCGAGAGTTGAAATGGTACTGATTGGTAATGTTCAATACGTGCTGTTAGTTTTTACTTCGATCGATTCCCTTTTTTTTTTTATAGCTCAAATTGCATATTCTTTAGATGCACATATGTCAAAATATTTTTTAATCTCTTTAAGTTACATTTTTTATAGTTATCATATGTCTTTCGTCAGTAGATAAGTAAATTTTATGTATTATTTTTCTTGTATAGTTAGGATTAATAATCCAAATTTTTCTTAAATAAAATAATAATGAAATATCAAAATACTACCAACAAAAAAGTAGATTCCAGAATAATTTTTAACGCTGAATAATTGGAATTTGAAGGATTTTTTATTTAATCTACGTTAAAGATTCCTTAAATGGTGCTAGGTAAATATTTCCGTAGAAATAATTTAATAACATTCTTCTTAAAGATATATTAAACTTATTGATTTTTGTCTTTAAATACAAATATGTACACCCTTTTTGAAATACTTAAAGGTATTTTAAAACTATTATGAGAGTGTTAACTTCAACTCGGGTGTGATGTGGTGCAGTAGACACAATAGATGCTGACAAAACTGTAGTGTTAGGTCTCGAATACGACTGTAGACTCATGGTTGGGTGACCATATGAGTGTTTTTACGATGGAAAAAAAACATATGCCTTGCGCATAAGACAACGGGAAATCATTGGTGTTAACCACCCTTACTATAGCAAATCAATTGTGGCAAGGCTTAGCATTTAGAAAAATAGAGAGACTAGTAATATTTAATTAATATTTTACATAATAATGAAATATATATTATACATAAAAAAAGAATTGCATTATGAATTAGGGGCATTTTAGAATTTTTTAGTATATAAATTTTTTAGAATTTCTTATTTATTGACCCTAATCGCGCCAAAAAATAGCAAAATAAGGATTGAGGTAAGCTTTCTTACGAATGCTTGATTTCAAATATAGTGTATAAAATCGTTTAAGAAGAGCGATTATTAGTAATGCCAGTTTACCTTAGTATATCAGGTTTATTCGACATCAGAAATCGATAGGAAAAAAAGACTTCTACCCAAATTTTTAAAATCGTAAAATACAAAACTAAAATTTTTAGATATAGTTTTTGCGTTATGATACCAAATTATAACTTTTTATTTCAATTCTTTTCAAAATTTTTAAATAAAAAATAACATTTAAATCAATTAATAAAAAAAAATATGAATGAATTTTTTTTTCAAAATGACAGATAAAATTATAAAAGATAAATATATCTTATATGTTTAACTTCATCTTAATTTATAATTGTAAATTTTAAAGTTGTTATAAAAGTAAATATTAAGACATGTATCCTTTGAAATAGGACACAAAAAGTAGAGATTTATAGAGATTTGAAATACCGGTTCTCTATTAGTGATAATTTGGTTATGTCAATTTGCATCTTAGAGCTTTTTAATTGAATCAGTATATTATGTATATTTCACATTCAATCAAAAACAAAACAAATAAGTGCTATTATGTTAACTTGTTTATCAACCTTTTTTTCAACTCAAAACTACATATTTTGAAATTGAATAATATTGTGTTGCAAAAATGCACTTTAGAATACTTTGATGCGGTACAAATTTAATTTTATAACAACTTCTAAGACATTGATTACTGCAGATTTAGTATTATATATCCATTTATCAAAACTAAACTAGATGAACAACTTAATAAGAAAAATTAATTATAGTAAGGCTTATTCTAAACATACAAACTTTTATTGCGCATATGTCAGCCAATTTGTTCGATGAGCTATTTCGTCACAAAAGGAACAAACGGCTTTTTCTTTGAACCCAAGTCCAAAAATAAAAGAACTATGTTTGTTTCAAAAAACAATAATCGATACAAACGAGTAGACACATTGTTCTTTCTTATATTGAAAACTGGTGAGAAAACTACCGTTGTCAAATGACAAATGAACAGTACACCACCCACGAGCAAAGAAATGTCTTAACTGAATGTTTTATTTGAATGCACTAAAAAAAAATAAAAGAAGGAAAACATAGTTTTAGATAGTGTTTTTTAAAAGCACAAACAATTTAAGTGTTCTCACAATGTATGATCTTGTATAGACTTATTTTAAAGTTATTTTTTAAATAAAATACCTCAACTGTTGTTATTTTACAAAATGTTCATTTGGTCAAATAAAACAATAAGTTGGTATTTTCCAAAACCAATTATTTTCGAAGAACATAGATATTCAAAACAAAAATAATACTAGTATACCAAACAATTAATTTTTTGTTAAAACTTAAAGTTTCAATCGATAAAAAAATTTATGTAACAATAATGCTTTTTTTGTTTTTACTGTATTATTTTGATTTAAGATGTTAAGTTGTTAAAGTGAATTTTTCATGAGATTCACGAATTATAATAATAATTTCTTAAAAGTTTTTAAGGTTCTCTGACCTATTTAAAAAAATTATTTTATTATACAGGCTAATTAATTTATTGTTAA